TTATAATTTTAAAATAATTACTTACTGCAATTGAATAATTATTTCTTTTTATATCTTCATCATTATTAGAAAATAATGAACTAATAATTGATCCAGATTTTGTTTTTAATTTGCTATATTTGTAAATTTTAGTAGTATTGATCTAAAATTTTAAATATATTATTAAAAATATAAATTTAATTAAATATAATTATTATAAAATATTTACCTCAATATTTTTTAATGGTAAATCAAATTCAGTTGAATAATATTGTCTAATTTTTTGAATTTCTCCTTTTGTCATTATATGTTCTTTTGATAAAGAAAATAATTTTTCTTTATTAAAAGATTCATTAAAAATTGATTTAAAAATTTGCTGATTATATTTATCATTATATTGTAAATGTGCAAAACGTGTCCACATAGTTAATTGGTTTATTAAATTTTTATATGGATGTATATGAGAATTAACTAAAGGTATTAACATTCCACATAATCTTTCTATTGGAAATTGCCATGTTGCCCATGCTGGACCAGTTTCATAAATTGATTCAGCAATATGTAAAAGATAATGAAAACTAATAAGAGTTGCCTGTAGACGTTCAGATTTTTTTTGATAATATTCTCTAAAAAAATATATTAATTAAAATTTTAAAAATGTTATTTTGTAAATTATATTTTAAAAACTTACTGTTCATAATGTTTAATAAATTTGATAAATAGTATTTGAATTTCTTTAAGTTCATTTTTTAATAAAGTTTCATTAAGGCATAACTTTGTTGCTTTAACAAAATTTGACCATCCATTTAAATATCTATAAATTTAATAAAATCAATAACTATTTATAATATTAATTTTTTTAAACATATAAATTATTAAAAATAATTACTTTTCTGGAAGATATTTATGCAAAAGTGGAATTGAATACAAAATTATCCAATTACACCACTCCTCGGCTTTAAAAGATAAGTAATATTTTTGAATATTAATAAGAGGTCTACCAAAATCTGCTGGCATTGCTTTTTTATTATATTCAATTATTTTTTCAATTTCATTCCAATTATCTTTTGAAATTTTATATTCTGTATTATTTAAAATTTCATTTTTAAAAAATTTGCCTATAAAGTGACGAAACATATGAGGAGCAACATTTTCAAAAAGTGCATGCATAATATCTACTGGAAATGATAAAGGAAAATTAATTGAAGATAATTCAAATAAAATACTGTATCCATTTACGCCTATTAATATAATAAATAAATAAATTAAAATAAGTTAAAATTTAATTAATATAATAATAAAAATTACCTTTTTTGCATTCATTACTATCTAGAATATAACTATTATGAGAACGCATTGGTAAATTTTCTGGATTATAATTATTATATTCTTGTAATGATTGAAGTGGATAATACATATGTCTAGCAGTTTCAGAATAAGATCCTTTTATATAACAATATCGGCATCCATATTTAGCATTATGACCTGAAAGACACATAACTTTAGATAAAGCAGGAATATCTCCAGACCATGAAAGAATATAGCTATGCAATTTAAATGTCTCTTTTAATATTGCATCATAACAAGTTACACCACCTACAAAATTTTAATTTAATTAATATATTTAATACTATTAATCATATAATTTAAAATTTTAAAAAAATTACATTCAAGTTGCTTTAATTCATCAACTAATGGTCGTAAAAAACTATTAAAATCTTTTGGAGATTTTGGTCCAGGTATAACCATATTAATTATTAAATTTTCTTTTTTTACTCTTTTTGATGGTGGAAGATTTGCATTTAAAAGCAAAATTACCCAACAGTCATTTCGTTTTTGTTTAAAAACTTGATAGCCATCCATAGATGCAATTAAAGCGACATCTCTATAATCTAAAAATAAGCCTGATGCTACTAAAGTTTTATATCTATTACCATCAAAAACATCACCAATTTTGCTATTCTCAGAAGTATATTCTTTTTTTGATGTATATTCATACCGATATCTAAGATCTTTTGCTCGTGATGGATTTTTATATTGCAATTTTAAGCTATCAATTATTGAAAAATATGCTAATTGTTTTCGAGATTTTTTGGATTTTTTTTTAGTTGTATATCGTGACTCTTTACATATAGGACATGTATTAAGATTAGCATTTTGTCCAGTAAATGCACAGCAAGAATTCCAACAAATGTCTATAAATTTTGGTTCTAGCGAAACCAAATTTCCTAAAATTTTTCGAAGCCGATAAAGAGAAACATTAGAAATATTAAAAATTTCTAATATTTCATTAAATGCTTGATCAGAAATTGTATGTTTATCTTTGATATAAAGAAGCTGAAGCCCTTTAATTATTTCACTTGGTAAATCTAAAATGTAAAAATATTAATATTAAAATTTTTAAAAAAACTTTTAAATAAAATATTAAAAAATAATTACCATTAAATTCAGCATTATCAAAACTCTCTTCTGATTCAGAACTTATTTTTTCACTACTTTCTGATTCACCCTCTTCTAATTCATCCTCCTCTAATTCATCCTCCTCTAATTCATTCTCCTCTGAATCATTCTCCTCCAATTCATCCCCCTCTGATTCACACTCCTCTTCCAATTCATCCTCCTCTGATTTATTCTCCTTATCCAATTCATCCTCCTCTGATTCATTCTCCTTATCCAATTCATTCTCCTCCAATTCCTCATTTTCTAAATCTAAAAGATTAATTCAATTAAAAAAAAATCAATTCAAGATAATCAAAAATTTTTTTTTATCTTACTTTGTTCAATATTTTCCTCAATATCCTCCATACTAACAATGTTTATTTGATTATTTAAAATATTGTTAGATGTATTATTTGAAATTGGAAAAGAATTTTCAAGATTTTTTTCTCGCTTCCTATGCCTTGTTCGAGTAGAGATGCTTAATAATTTGCCACAACCATTAGTTTCTTGCATGCAAAATACACAAGTGCATAAAACTTTATTATCCATAGCTAATTATTATAAAATTTATAAATTAAAGATAAGTATTTGAAATATTAAATTTTTTTAAGTTAATTAATTTTACTAATTTATTAAAAAACTAACCTTTTTTTAATACTTTTTTTTGCAAAAAACAAACTCGTATTTTGCCAAACTAATAGAAAAGCACAAAAACAAGTTGCGAAAAATTAAAAGAATCAATATAATTATATAAGAATAATCTGTAAATAAAAACCCGTTATCGGACTTTCAATTATATTTTGTGTATAGCCATCTATGGAAAATCTATCAATAGATTTTCTATAGACAGTTATTGAAAGTCTAATAAAAAATTTTATTATAATTGCTATTTAAATTATATAATTACCTATTTAATATAACCAATATTTCACTTATACAAAATAATATATTACAATAAAAGTAATCTAGCAAAACAATACAAAAATTAATACAAAATTTTAATATCCTTTAATATTTTTAATAAAAGCAGTCCATTCATCTTTTCTCATATTCTCTAACCATGTAATACTAACATCATCAATTATATCCAAAAGTATCCAATTATTATTAAGTGCTTCAAGTAATTGATGCAAGCGAGGTCCTGCAGTAATAAAAGTTGTAAGTTTTCTTGATGAAATATTTCCTACAAAGCCAGGGATATTTATGTTTAGATCTGAATAGCTTTCTAAGTCCTGATTTTTTTTTCTTTTTCTTACTTTGAAAGAATCACCATCAATAACATGTTTAATATTAAAAGAATTGTCTGATTTATTAATATTAAACATGTCATATAGTGATTTTTTCCCAGTAAGTAAAGCCCTTACTTGAGTTGCACACTTAGTTCCTTTTTCACGGGTTGTATATTTATTTATCCATTCTGTCAAGTAATTATATGCTATTTCAAATTTATATAAGAATCGAAGTGACATTCTGCGAGAAACTTCAATATTATAAGTTGTAATATTACAATCAAAAATAGACTGATAGCATGTACTCATTAATATTGAAAAAATTTCTACTTTTTTTTCTAATGAATCATTCTTTGATAGGTTATTGACTTTGAGATCCTGGGATAATTGCGGCGTACGCCTTAAAAGCATGATTTGATCTTGTAAATTTAAATTATCATCTGAATTTGATAATACAAGATTTTCATATTCCAAAGCTAATCCACCATTAATCTGAGCAGGATCAAATTGGACTATTGAAGTTTTACGAAGTATAGAAAGTTCCTTTAGATAATTAAGAAGACTTTTATAATAATCATCTTTTTTAATAAACGAATTTTTATCATAAAAAGGTGCTATTACGGTTAATTCGCTTTCAAATGCTAATAACTCATGAAATTGCTTAGAAACCTTTAATTTATTTCCAGTTAATATCTCCTTTTTTTTAGTAGGTTGAAAACTAGCAAAATAGCCAAGATATGAGTAAGGATCTTGGCTAACTTGCTTTTTACTAACCCTTTCAAATTTAGGAAATTTAATATTTATAATTGACTTCCTAATTTCGATAGGGTTTATTGGCTCCAATACAATTTCGCCTCGATTGTTCTTAAGTGTTGCAATTTTTTTTGTCGGATTAATTTCAATTTTGTCAAAATTAATATCCTGTGTAATAGATGCTAAAATAATACATTGATTTATAATATCCGGGGATACTTCTTGAAGGAAAGTAGGTATAGAGGGTCGATTAACCCTTTTAGAAGTTTTTGTCGCAATTCCTAAAATTAAAATTAAAGTAAGTATTTTTTTTTTTTTTTTTTAAGCTAATAAAACTAATTAAAATTATAGATTTACGTTGTCGCTTAATATTTCGTTCATCATCATTATCCTCATCTTCATTCTTATCTTCATCACTTCCTTCATTACTCTCTTTACCACCTTCATCGTCTTCTTCATTATCACCTTTTTCATCACCTTTATCATGACCTTCGCTTTCAACATCACCTTCCTTATGACCTTCGCCTTCAACATCACTACCATTATCCACTTGCGCTACTTTACTGTTTTTATTAACATTATCTATTTGCATTATTTCTTCACTTTCCTCGTGATCTTCAACTTCTTGCATTATTTCTTCGTTTTCCTCATGATCTTCATCTTCAACATCACCACCGTTATCCACTTGCATTACTTTACTGTTTTTATTAGCATCATCCATTTGCACTATTTCTTTACCTTAACAAAGTTGAAGTTATTCAATAAAGATTATATATCAATAATTAATAATTGAATACAGCATACTTACAAGAAAAAGAGTAAAGTTCTTCATATTTCACATTTAAGATATCATTGTTTTCATTTGGAGCATTATTAATATCATTAATATTAATAATCGAATCTAATTGGGATGTTAAATTTTTATGAAAATTACTAGTATCTCCAATTTCTTGAAAAAAACAACATGTTTTGGTATCGTTTATATATGTTATTTCAACTTCTTTATTAAGAAATCGAATTTGACGAATATATTGTTCAGCATTGTAAGAATATAGTAAATATATAGCTCGTATTAAGTCGTCCATACTTTCTATTTATTTAAAATATTTGCATATAATTGTCAAATAATAAGTATTAAAATCAAATTATTAGTAATTTTATTTAATTAATAATAAAAAGAAAGAATCATTAGTATAAATATATACCTTTAAGAGTTGAGAAAAGCGGTAAGAGAAAATTTCTATTTAAATAAAAATAATAATTTGAAATTTAACTATAGACTATGCGATACAGTAATTACGTAACTAGACTTGGCGGTCTACGAGTCTGTACCTTGCTAAAGCTGAAGAACTATTATTACCAAATTAATAAATATATTAAATTATAGTAACATATATATAAAAATTGATATTAATAAATTATATTTAATAATAAAAAAATAAAAAAACTAATAATAATAAAAGTAATAAATAAATAAAATTATACCTTGAAGTTGCACACAGGTGAGAGTAAGAAAAAAAAGTTTCTATTTAAATAATAATAATAATTTGAAATTTAACTATAGACTATGTGATACTCTAATTACGCAACTAGACTTGGCGGTCTACGAGTCCGTACCTTGCTAAAGCCGAAGAACTATTATTATTTAATAAATATATTAAATTATAGTAACATATATATAAAAATTGATATAATAAATTATATTTAATAATAAAAAAAAAACTAATAATAATAAAAGTAATAAATAAATAAAATTATACCTTGGAAGTTATACACAAGTGAGAAAAGCGATAAGAGAAAAGTGGATAAGATAAATTCTATTTAAATATATAACAATTATTTGAATTTAGCTATAGATACGCAATACTCTAATTACGTAACTATACTTAGCAATCTACGAGTTCGTATCTTGCTAAATCTGAAGAGTTATTTATTACCTAATTATCAATTAATAAATATTAAATTATATATATATATATAATATATATTTTTTATTAATAAATTATATTTAATAATAATAAGAATAATAAATAAAAAAATATATACCTTGGAAGTTACACACAAGTGAGAAAAGAATAAGAGAAAAGCGGATAAGATAAATTCTATTTAAATATATAACAATTATTTGAATTTAGCTATAGATACGCAATACTCTAATTACGTAA